AGATGTGGAGGATGTTAGCCATTTCTGTGATGCCAAATTGCTTGTGTGGAAAATCTGAAGCCTGTAATGTTGATGCCACAGAGTTTAGCCATAGAGCATGCATTGCTTTGGTTAAAAATGGTTGCATGTGTGTGCCCATTTTATGTTGTCCACTAGATTGAGTTTGTCCAAGGGTCGAGGGGTATGTGGTTAAGTGATTAGCACATCCGGCTGGCTGCAGGGGGTCACAGGAGATGCCCTAGGGAAGTCGGGCTTGAGCTGGAGGTCAAGTGCACTGAATGTTGGTGCCCTTCCATCTGGTGTTGGCTGCATCAGCCAGGGCCATTACAGTGTCTCAATCAGATGTCATATTTTGTGTGAACTCAGTGAAGCCTTAACCAAACAAATAATTTGTTGTGAAATTAGATCCTTTTAAGATTATAATAGCAGCAAGTCGTCAGTGGTGCCAGAGATTTAATTTGCCTTTGACAGCTGGAGGGAGGTTCCATGCTTTGAGTCCTGTGGTAGAAAACTAGCATTGTAGGAGAAATGGGTTTGAGAACCACAGGCTTTCGCCTTATTACTAGGTCAGTCGATAGGAAGCCAGGATCTGGCTCTGTTGTTCAACTGGTGGCTGAGATGCTGTGTTAAGCAGGTCTATTCCCAGTGTGGTCCTGGGACCAGCAACCTCAGCGCCACCTGGGAACTTCTAAGAAAGGCAGAGTACCGAGCCCACCCCCCACCTACTGAATCATAACTCTGGGGTGGGGCTTAGGAACCTGAGTTTGAACAAGTTCTCCAGGGTATTCGGATGCACACCAAGGCCTGAGAACCACTGCCGTGTGGCTCTTAAGCAGCATAAGCTGTTTGGATGTGCTGTTGTCTAGGGGGGTCCTTTTCTAGAGCATTTCATGTTCAGCTGGCGTCTTGTTCTGGCAACCCAGGCCAAGTCCCTGGGATACATCAAGTTAGATTTCCATTAGTGCTCAGTGCTATTCAATAACAGCCCACAGTCTGGATGGGTAGGTCAATCCAGCTCGCCCCTGACTGGGGCTCTGCAAAAAGCAGGCCCTGGTTTATGACTCGAGAAGGCGTCAGTTCAAGAACCTTTCCTCTCAAGGATCCCTTTGAAAGTCACGTTCCAGTCAGGGCGAGACACAGATGGACAGATCCGAGGCAGGAAAGGGTGAGAGCGGCATCTGAACCAGCGGAGGGTCTTGCAAAGAGACAGGCTTCCGCTGAGGAAGTATCGCAGGGAGCTGAGACATGGGTGTTTTCCACCTGTGTTTCTGCAGTCATGTTTGAGGAGCATTCTTCTCTTGAAAGGCCTTTGTCATGTTAACGGTTGAAATAGAGCTCTCTGTTTGAGAAACATTTCCTTGTGGAACAAATGTTTCCAATGGAAATAAACTTGAGTGTTGAGATAGTATTGATTTTGATTTTGAGGGAAGAGAGTTAAAGGTTTCCATTCATCCAGGCCTTGCCCTGAGCTGGGGAACATACTGAACAGAGTGAGACTGGATCCCGGCACTGATAGGGGTTACCCCGAGAAAGGCTTTCCTGGCAGAGGGCACGGCATGTCCTAAGGGCTGGAGCTGGTGAGCGTTGACCCGCCAGGAGTGATTTCCTTGCTGGAATCTGTGGTCCTTGGTGTGTGTGTGTTGGGGTGGGGGGGTGGGGTGGGGGCTGATCGAAGAGACTGTCCCTAAGTGGTGTTCAGAGGACCAAGTTCCACTATTTTTTTAGGACCTCTGAGCTAGCCATGGAGTGCCTCTCTCACTCCATAGAGTAAATTACACAATAAAACCATAGTTGTACCCCGTTTTAGTTGAAGATGGCTTAAAAATAACTTCAAGGAGGTCACGGCTAGGTGGAGATGGAGGTGATTCTGTGAGGAGTGTTGGGGAAATAATATTAAAAGCAGAATCTCCTCGTAAGTCAGAACATCTCTCCACAAAGGTAGAAGAGAAAGAAAAACAATTTTATTTTGAATAAGCATTAAAGCAGAATGGGATGCGTAGCACAGCCGCTGCAAGGCTCGCCATGCTGGAGATTGTAAAGGCTCTTAAAATGGGTACAATGTGTCATATTCATGGCTTCAAGATAAAAACTGTTAACTTGATCATGCCTTATAATTTGGAGTCCAATGGAAGACTGCAGTTAGGCTCACATCTTGCCAGGAAATGGGGAGATAGAGTGTTATCTTCCTTGATGATTACATTTCAAAGAGGCGGCTCCTTTAGCATTTGACCTTATAGGAGCAGCCCTGCCCTGGTGAGGGTGGCTTAAGTGTCCTGGCATCAGGGCTTGCTCTTAGCTTGTAGGGGCTCCTAGGAAAAAGGGCTCTGTGTCCCTGCCCATGTAGACAGGACAAATATCTCTATGGCTGCAAGATCCCCATCGGAAAAAAGGTGTTGGACTAGAGTATTCTACCTTGTAGGTCTGCTCCCATATCCCTTTCCCCAAGCTGCCATTTCTTTCCTTTTCACACCCAGAGCACCCTGGTCAGCCACTGATTGCAGCCTGGCTTAGCAATCTAACCAATCCTACATGTGCCGAGCATCAAATTACAACCCAGCGTTTGGATTCAAGCTGGGAAGTGCCTTGGAGATGGCATCAGCTCTAGGAGCACCCTGGGGCAGGGCCACCACCTTCTCCGCCAAGCCAGGAAGATCTCAGGGAACAAGTCTGCATCTGATGAAGTATGGTAGCAACCATACTTGGATAAAAATTGCTGTTTAGTATTTTAACCTTGCTGTTTTGGGTTCTGTAGTCATTTAAAAATTATTTTGATTTTCTGAACTTATGTATGCTATCCCAGTACTCCATTGATGATGGTTTGAATATCCCATTGATTGTGATCTCACTGGTCATTGAAGCACATTCCTGGGACCCAAGACAGTTCAATTGTCCTAAATTGCCTTAGTAGCTACAGATAGTGCATTCATGTTGACTCAGTGATCCCAGAATCTGGACAGCACAATTATTCTAAATTGTCCAGGTGGTCCGTTCCAGATAATGTGTTTCTTTTGACTTAGTGATTCGTAGATACTTTAGATAACTAACTTGCTCAGTTTCACTTCTGTAAAATCAAGAAACAGGTTCCTCATTTCAGACCCAAAGATGTAATCGATACTTTGGTGATATTCTGCCAATAAAAGCCAGAAGTGGCAAGCTGTTCGGGGCTGTGAGGTCTGGAGTGCTTTTGCTCCCTCGTGTGCCACCGGCCTTTAATAAATGACTTCATGATTTGACTTTTTTGAGGCGTCCTTTGTAAGATGAGGGTTATACCACAACCCTGACAGTTACTATCTGATCTTGCTCTTTGTATCTGGCTTGTCCTACTTAAGATCACCTAATTTATCTCTTTTTCCTCCCAGCTTACCACCTTCAGCCCCTTTGTCTCTTCTTTCTCGTCCAGTCAGAATCAGGAAAAATCTTTATGTTTCTAGTGCCTGCAGCTCAGAACATGACTTCCCTGTGGCCTTGTGAAGGACTCTTCAAAGAACCCGTGAGCTGAATGACAGTGTTCGTCTGCAGAAATTCCCTCAGATGTTGCTTCAGTTAATTGGTCTCCCTTCAATCACTGGGTCTGAAAAGTGTCTTTTTCTGCCTGATTCTACCCTACAGTGGCTGTTCTACACTTGGAGCGGTGCTTGCCCATAGGAGGTGCTCTGGGAATCTGCTCCCAATCCCTCTCCTGGTTGTCCCTGTAGACTCCCACTCATCCTATGGAGAGACATTACAGGGGTACACTGTCCTATTACCAAAGGCCCTTCAGCTGTTCACAGCAAAGATCCTCATGCTGTTGTCATTCAGGGGCCCTCAAAGCTCCTGATGGCTAAGAGAAGAAGGTGGGTGATTTGGAAAGAAAACACCTTGTACCTGCCCAGTATGATCACAGCAACCACTGGTCACCAATGGCTATTGAACACTTCAATGTGGCTAGTGGGACTGAAAGATGGAATTTCTAATTTTATTTAATTTATTTAAATTTTAATTTAAAACCCGATTCTCAGTTTGGTTATTGGAAAGCTCTTAAGTGCATTTGGAATAATTTGGATACATGAATCAGCTTTTTCAGCTGTAAATATTATGAAATTGAAATGTAGATGAAGAATTAGCATCCAAATTGAGATTTGGGTTGTAAATGTAAAATGCACACCCGATTTCAAAAAGACTTGGCATGAAAAAGAATGTAAAATACCTCATTAATGATTTTTATATTGATTAGATGTTGAAATGATAATATTTTGGATACATTGGATTAAATAAAAATTTAGTATAAGCAAGTTCACCTTTTTCTTTTTACTTTTTAAAATGTAGCTACTAGAAAATTTAAAACAATGTTTGATTCACACTATATTTCTATTATATGTCTACTGCCTTAGACCTTGGTGTATCTAAAACTGGCTTGAAGGCCACCAGGAAGCTGCTAATGCCAGGAGTTCCTGGAGAGAGTGATGCTTCTGAAGTCTTGCTCAGTGGCCGGCAAACCTTTGGCACACCTTCCTGATCTGAATACGGTGTCCTCCTGGGGCACGCGGGAGAGAAAGAGCATCGTTTTCTTAAAGGCTGCTCTGCTCCAGGAGGAAGCCTGAATTCTCACCTACAACAGGTCCACTTCCCAAAAGACAGGGTTCTTCTACCAGCGCAGCTCGTAGCTCCTTGTTGATCCAATGTAGCTTCAATTCTGATGTTTTTGCCAGGTGCCCAGTTGAAGAACAATAAAACCAATGAGCTTTCTAACACTGGGACATTCAAAACATTGCCTCCCTGTGTAGCAGACAGGCTGACAGCCACATGGTCCAGAATTCGATGCATTCACAGGGAAGTCATGGGCCAGGGAAGTCCTGACACAGCCAACTAGGTGAATTGTATAAAAAAAAATTTAATGCTTATTTTTAGAAGGTAATGAATGTTGAGGTGAACAACTATTTTCAACAGAATTTCATGTCACTTTGTATGGTAATGGTTAACCAACCTTGACGTTAAAAATTAGTTGCACGTGTGTTCATGACCGATTCAGAAAGCGTTCTTTGAGCACCCCTGCATGTGGGCTGTCCTGCTTGGTGTTTTCTGAGCACCGGGACGGGTGTAACGTGCCATCTTGCTGCTGGTTGGGGAGGTTTAACACACCTACACCTGTATCTGCGTATCAAGAAAGACAACATAAGCTTGTCGTGTAGGAAACAAAATGAGTGTTTTAGGGGTTTAGAAGAAGGAGTGATTAGTGTGGTCAGCTTTGCAAACTCATTCCGTGGGCTGGACTTACCGATGTGGGGGGACCTCAAAACAGAGTCCAGGCATCACCCGGGTCCGGGGGGAGTTGCCTGAGAGGATTGTTTACAGTGCAGATGCCTGAGGTGGAAGTGAGGCCTGGGAAGTGATTTTACAAACCTCCCCAGTCCTCGCAGGGACTCACTAGTGGGTGCATGACTTCAGATGGTCCCTTGTCCAGAAGACTGAAAGCAGTTAGTGGTTAATGTAAAATGTGTGTTTAATGGGTTACAGTAATTGTCTGTGCTCGAATTATCTGAGCAGTAATTTCCCCCGCAGCTTCTCAGCATCATAACCAGAGCAGGAGGAGCCCTGGCTCCAATGGAGTTCATCCTCTTAAAGGATGTTGTTTCCCTCCCACTATGTGTACCAGGGCTCCTAGTCCTGTCCCCTGGCGCTCAGCAGCCATGTAGCCATGCCCTCCACAGGAAAGCCTCCAGGCCCCATTCCCATCCTTCATGCCATCTTTTCTCCAGGCTAAATAAAGTTGCTTTTATTCAACCCTTCTTCAACCGTGCTTTAAGTATGTGGCTTCTGGATTTTTTACCTGCTCTTTCTTCCTTTGGTTCTCTAGCTTTAGAAGCTGGTCAGCTAGCAGGGCCTGGACCATCTCCAGAGACCGATTTAGAGGGTCTCCAGTGGAGTGTGGGCATCCAAGTCAGACGACTGCCCAATCAGTCCCTAAGCCCACAAACAGCTGCCCTCAGAGGCTTCCGACGTGGGCTGCCCAGTGCAGCAGCGTGGGGCTGGCTTCTCCCACAGGGCGAGGCTGTCCTGACACAACCAAGGATCACATTCACTCTTAGAAAGTCATCGACGGCTATGGCCTATGCCCCCATGTCCCCAGCCCCTAGCCCTGTGTCTGACCTACAGGTGCCCTGCACATATGTTATGAATGAATGCATGGTCCCTGAATCCACAAATATTTTCCACATGAAGTGTCAGTCAAATCAGGGTCTCCTCATCTATATGGATGAGACTAATTTTTAAGACATCCAACTCGGTAATATTATCTCTGGGCCACAGCGGCCTTTACGTTCATGGTAACGAGATGTTATCTGAGTAGCAGAATGGTTAGAAGCACAGACTTAGAGCCCCACTACCTGGATTTGAATCCTGGTTCTGACACTGCTTGCTGTGAGGCATTGGATAAATTCTTAACTGTCCTAGCCTCACTTTTCCTAATCTGTAAACGGGTGTAAGAACAGTAATGGTCTCATTCCTGTGGAAGGTTTGTCTGCATTGCTTCTGAGTGCCAGGGGTTGTGGTGGAGTTACAGGAAATGATGCATATAGGGCACTCAGCACGTGGCTTGGCACAGAGTAAGTGCTCACTGACTGTTTCTCTCCGGCCTAAAGATGGTAGTGTGAGGATGTTTGAGGGAGCTCACTTAGGTCATGATTTGCTGCGCCCCCACACCTCTACTCGTGGCCATGGGCTGGGCCTCTCTGGGGGAGCCTAGAATTGTGAGTGGCTGTTGGAAGGAAAGATGGATGGGAGGCTGAGTGGTAAAGGCCTCAGACAGACTTCATTTTGTCTTCCCCGCATGAAGTCTGCAGGGTGTAGGAGGGGTGGATGCTGGTGCTGGCAGTAGACGAGCCACATCGCTGACTTGGTCTAGCTGCATAGCTGGCTTTCTCTTGGGGATGGACCACTAGAGAGTCTCATTTTTGACTGCTCATTAGGCCACCTGGGAGCTGTTACCCACATGGTGCCCGGTCGCACCTGAGATCAGTTTAATCTGAACTGCCAAAGCTGGAGCCCAGGCATCCCTATTTGTCTGAAAAGATGCCCAGGTGATTGTCACGTGCAACCAGGTACCTGTGGGGCCGGCTGAGTGCTGCTGACATCCCCGTCCAGTTCCCGTGTGCTCTGGCCTCTCTGCCTGGGGTGTGTGTTTCCTGAGCAGTCCGGTAAGGCCCCTTCCCTCACGGGGACCCGTGGCCTCCCTTTACAGTGTGGGTGAATGGCATGGACTTCAGTGGGATTCAGTTGCAAGACAAACCCTTCTTAGCATCCCAGAGGCTGGGTGGATTTTTATAAGAGAGTGTTGGGTCTCTCAGGGCATGTTCCCAAGAGGACTAGGGGAGACGAGCGCACAGTTGTCTCAACCTGTTAATACGGTGGGTCAGGGAGTAAGTCTGCCCGCTTTGGTGTTTGTTTCCTCCCGAAAATGTGATGTGCAAGTTGTGCGAAAACTTTTGCATAGGCTGTGTCTTTCTTTGGTTTAATGAAACCTCATGGAAGTGCTGGCTCACCAGAGGGGCATCTCAGCCTGCCTGCCTGCCTGCCTTTCTTTTTCAGGGCCCCCTGGGTGTGTAGCTTTTCTCTTGTTGCTTTTAGTGATAGTTGATTGGCTGCAATTAACTGGCCATCATTGTTTTTGAGGAGAATGTACTCATTGCCCCACATAGTAGATTAGTCATTGTTCGTAGAGAGCCTTTAGCCTAGACTTGTGTTAGAACTGTTGGGAGGCAAAAAACAAAAACAAAAAACAAAACACAAGAAAACGAACCACCAGCTTTCTGCTCGCAGTCTTCATTTTCTCTCTGAGGCCTCTCTGCCTCTCTATTGGTTGAGAATGGGGGAGCTGGCTATGGGGACTTGCCTTTCTATAGTGAATGGAGGCATCTATGGAAACATGACCCGTCAGCTACCTTTCCATAGAAGCATGTGCCCTGGGGCCCTGAGCAGTGAAGGTCCTGGAGGAGCCTATGGCATGGTGTCCGAGAAGCTTGATCTGTGTGGCACTGTCTGTATCATAGCTCCAAGTAGGGGAAAGGTACAATCTGAATGTTCCCCCACTTCACTTACCATCTTAACAAGCTCTAGGAGGTCCTGTGCCACACACCTGGGGAGACAGAGGAACCAGCTGATGCTGCCCTCCAGGGGCCTCGGACCTCAGTGCCTCGGCTCTGACAGTGCGGGAGGTGGGCAGGGTCTGGAAGAGGGAGCTCCGCCCACCATGGGCAGGGGTTGGGATGGGAGGAGGAGAGGTTCATGGACAAGAGCCTTTCAGACTTGGGTACACCTCGGCCTGGACTGGCTGGTGAATTCTTTCTGTGATGATGAGGACGGAGCCTCACAAGTGGGCATTTGCCTCAACTCGCTCCTGGTCGCCTTGCTGGCCTCACTGGAAGGGGAACGCTTGGGAACCGGTCACTCAGCCATGCCTTCCTCCTGTGGTTTCCGTTGGTCTGTAGCCTCATGGTTTGTTTGTTTTTCCCTTTGGCAAACATTTTTCCTGGAGGCCCTGACTTGTGGTCAGTGCTGGGACATAGACTGACCACAGAGCCAGCTCCCCAGGGGCTGAGAATCCGAAGCCTGCAGGGCCCAGTGTGGCCTGGGCATGTCCGGTTTACCCGTCCGTGTGCCTGGTAAGGCGGCAGATTCTTCCCCATCCCCTGCTACTAAGTCTGCATTTTTCACAAGCCTCCCAGACACCTCCTCTGAGTTCCCAGCTTACCATAAAAGCTTGAAGAGCTGTGCCCAGAGGTGCTGGTTGCTAACACTTGGGCGAAAAGTGTTGGGGACCTGGGTTCATGGTGGCAGAAGGGCTGGAGAGAGGGGAGAGGGGCAGGTTGAGAGGGCTGTTTGAGGCAGCATGGTGTCCAGGAGGACCTGAGGCTGCTGGCGTGGGTTCTTCCATGGATATTATCCGTGATGGTGGCAGTTCTGCCCATGTTGATCTTGAGATCTTGCTGTTCTTGTACACAGGTGAAAGGAATTATGGGTCTTAAGTGTTGGGCTGGGATAGTGCATTGGTTGGCAAACCGCGGCTCGCGAGTCACGTGCAGCTCTTTGGTCCCTTGAGTGTGGCTCTTCCACAAAATACCACGTGTGGGCGTGCACATACAGTGCGATCGAAACTTCGTGGCCCATGCGCAGAAGTCAGTTTTCAGCCTGGGAGAGTCTATTTTGAAGAAGTGGCATTAGAACACTCAAGGGGCCAAAGAGCCGCATGTTTGCTATTTGCCGACCCCTGGGATAGTGTGTCTCCTGGAGATGGGGGTTAATTTGTGGGACCTGGTCAGCTTTATAGCTTGGCAGCATAAGAAAGTTCTGTTTACATGGGGTTCCTTGCTTTCATGTTCCTTGGCTAAGCTTCTATGTGTTGGCCTTGCTGTAGCCCCCATTCTGAGATATCCTCTACTTCCTGAGGGACTTGAGGTCAGCCGCCCAGGCGGGACTTACAGGCGGAGGAAGAGGCAGCTGAGGGCCATAGGCAGGGTAAGAGATGGGCAGAACTTGGTCATGTTCTGCATTGCCAGGTTGGAGGCGGGTGAGCTCAGCTGGCATTCTCACGCTCCTCCCTCCCTTGGCAGGCCCAGCCTGCCGGGTATTCCAGAGCTGCTGCCAGTGTTCTTACATTGATTTACTGACTTAACCTAGGGTTTCTCAGCCTCAGCACAACTAACTTTTGGGGCCGGTTAATTCTTGGGGGAAGAGAGGCTGTCTTATGCATTGTAGGATATTTAGCATCATCCGTGGCCTCCACTCACTGGATGCTAGTAGCATAAGGTGACCAGACATTCCTGATTTTGTAACAATTTGCCAGAAATCGGGACTTTTTTAAAACGCCGCGGGACAAATTGTTAAAAATTGGGACTGTCCCACCAAAAGCGGGACGTCTGGTCACCTTATAGAAGCACCCTCCTCCCCAGTTGGGACAATCAGAAGTGTCTCCAGACATTGCCAAATGTCCCGTGGGGGGCAGAGTCACCCCCGTGGAGAACCATCGACTGGATGAACATTGTCTAGTCCTTTTTCTGTCCTGGAGTTGGGGGTAGAGCAGAGAACGAACCCAGCCCTGCTCACTTTCTAAGCGGAGACCAGAGCCTGTTCTGGAGAGACTGTAAAAGGCGAGGCTTAGACTTCCAGGGGTGACATCATGGCTGGGGAGTCTTGGAATGAGATGCGGGTCTGTCTGTCCAGGTGTTCCCTGTCTTCCTCGTCCTGGAATCAGGTCATGGCATGCCTGGTGTTGGAGCTGTGGGAGCGTGGCTTTTCTTTGCCACTGCTTATGCTAACTTCTCAAAGGGGAACCTTTATGCTACACTCACAAACAAAGCCTTGTTTGCAGTGTGGCCAAATTACAGTTTTGCACCATATTTTGGGGGCTCTTTTTTGCACCTTAAAGACCCTGCTGCCTCTCCCAGCTATCCTGTTACATTCCCCAGGCCACTGTCAGAGAGGACTGCCAATGTCAGAGAGGACTCTTTGACCTGCAGATTGGGTCAAAACATCCCTCCTCTCTGAACAATGACCTTGGGATCCAGGTCCCTGCTGTGCCAAACCCTGCCTCTGAGCCCACACCCTGGCTCTTTCCTTTCCCTGTCACTCTGCCTGGTCAGTCAGATCTCGGGGCTTTTAGTTGTCTTCCTTGGGCAGGCTCCCTGGATCCTGCCTTGGTAACCACACTCCCTTTGCTTACCTTGAAGCTCCCGAGGATCGTTACCAGGGCTAGGCTTTGTAGCGATTGCTTGGAAGATGTCAGCAAGTTCTTGTGGAATGACTGACATGTATTGTCCCCTCACTGTACCATGAACTTACTTCTCAGAAGGAAGAACCCCTGAGGCTCATAAGTGATCACCCCCATAAGTCTAGTTAACCTCTATCACCACACAGAGTTACAATTTTTTTCTTGGGAGAGCTTTTAAGATCCACTCTCAGCAACTTTCACATATACAGTTCAGGTTAACTATAATCACCATGCTGTGTATTACATCCCCAGACTTATTTTATAACTGGAAGTTTGTCCCTTTTGACTACCTTCACCCCTTTTGCTCACTCCAAACCCCTACTTCTGTTCTCTGTATCTATGAATGTGTTTTCTCTCTGATTCTCTCACTAATATGTGGAATCTCTGATTTCTCCCACTTATATGTGGAATCTCTAGATTCCTCATATAAGTGAGATCACATGGTACAGTAAAACTTCGACTAATGGGGTAATTTGGGCAAGAGATGTCCATTAAAGCCAAAAATTTGTTATATAATAAAGTAGGTTTCCGAATGCATATGTTAAAAATGGACAAGTTAGTTTACCTGTCTTCACTGATGTAGACATGTTGGTGTAATTAAAATTAAGTATGTATGAAAAGTTTAATTTCACAGAAAAGTTTTCTATGTGTATTACTATAATTTTTAATTTATACTGAATAGGTCTAGTAAATGCATGCATTCACCAGTCACGGAGAGGAGAGAAATGCCCACAGCTGGGGCATGACTCAGTGCACATGGGAACGTCTGCTGACCTGAGTTAGAACTGCTGTGGAAAGTCACGGCACACATCCACAGAACCACTTACCGCGAGCAATGTGGTGTGATCACGTGCTAATCGCTCGCTGGACACTGTCTATGAACGGTGACTCATTGAAATATGTAGACTATAGTGGTAGATATGTAATATTTATGTTGGCGGAATTACTACAGTGTTTTTTCCAGTATAGGGCCTATTGGCTAAGATTTGTTAAAAAATAACAGCAAGCCGAAACCGGTTTGGCTCAATGGATAGAGCGTTGGCTTGGGGACTGGAAGGTCCCGGGTTCGATTCCGGTCAAGGGCATGTACCTTGGTTGCCGGCATATCCCCAGTAGGGGGTGTGCAAGAGGCAGCTGATCGATGACTCTCTCTCATAGATGATTCTAACTCTCTATCTCTCTCCCTTCCTCTCTGTACAAAATCAATAAAATATATTTAAAAAAAATAACAGCAAATTATAACCAAAAAAAACCCCTATAAATTTAATTATAAGCAAATCTTGGTTAAAAGCATTTTAAAATGAACAGGGTGTTAATTTTCACAAATGACTTAACGGACTGGAAATTTTATCTTGTTAAATCGAGGTGCGCAAAAATCGAGGGTTTACTGTATTTGTCTTTTCTGACTGATTTCCCTTAGCCTCATGCCTTCAAGGTCCATTCATATTGTCACAGATAGCAAGAGTTCCTTCTTCCACGGCTGAATACTATTCCATTTGTATATGTACCACATTTTCTTTATCAACACATTCCACCCTTTTCTTAAAAGCTTGCCAGGGGTGAGTCTGTCTGAACTCTGGCCTGGAGCAGCTTGCCGTACTGACAGGTGGCCAGGCACCCCACGCGTGGCTGGCTGTGACGGCAATGTTTTAGGGAGGAGGTGAAGATGCCTGGTAGCAGCACACGGAGGGTAGGAGTGTGTGGGCGTTATATGGTCTGCTTCCTCTGGGTCAGTGGTCGGCAAACCGCGACTCGCGAGCCACATGCGGCTCTTTGGCCCCTTGAGTGTGGCTCTTCCACAAAATACCACGGCCTGGGCGAGTCTATTTTGAAGTGGCGTTAGAAGAAGTTTAAGGTTAAAACATTTGGCTCTCAAAAGAAATTTCAGTCATTGTACTATTGATATTTGGCTCTGTTGAGTAACGAGTTTGCCGACCACTGCCCTGGGTTATCTGGCCTGACTCTGCTGGGAAGCCAGGAGGATGAACTCACTGCATGCTAGGGAAAATGTCTGAACCCCCTCCCTTTAGGTGCTGTACAGCTAGTGTCTTAAGTTGACAAGAAGCACATGTGTAATCTCCAGACTTGCATTGTGGTTTCTGGCAAGCCTGGCTTTGTTACACACATCCCCACCCCGACCTGCTCTAGACCTATCTGGACTGTTCAGGGTTTAGTTACCTTTCAATTTTTTGGCCATGCCAGGTTCATAGTTCGCTCTGATCAGTATATTTCATTACTAGTGATTTTCAGAGAAGATGGAGAAAGGAAACAGCTTGGGAGTTGTGAATCCCTAAACACTGGCACACCAACAACAGCAATACCAGAAACACTCTAGAAGCAAACATAACTAACTGCTGGAGTATTTGCATCTGTTCTGTTTTCTTGGCAAGGATAAGCCAGGCCAATAAGTCTGATGTTTCCATCAGAAGTATCTTATTTCATCCTACAAGCAAATCACTTAAGATCACTGGTTAGGGTCTTTGCATAATTAATATAAGTGTAGAGATTTCCTGAAATCTGGTACCAACTGATGAGAAAATGGGTTTTAATTTTATGATTCCTCTAATTTAGTGATATTCTAAAAAGCTAATTTATTCTAGTTGAGTATGAGCTTTTGGGAATACAAAGACGTGTACAAGCTCTTAGAAACCCATCCTGAATACTTTTGTTAGACTTCTAGCATAACCAATAATGTATATTGGTGGTATTTCGAGAGGGGAGAACTCCATTAGCTTTAATTGACTTTGGAAAACAGTCCATTGTCTGGAAAGTGAAACAACTACTTTGTTTCTTTAAGTGGAAAGCAAATTGGTGTGAGTTTGAAAATAATGTATCTGTTCTATTGTATTGTTCATGGTTCAACTTAAAACAGAAAAAGTAGCTCCCAAAACAAACTCTACAGTGGCTATTTCCTGTTGGAGCTCTACCTGCCTGGAGACTGTTAGCCCCACTTAAGGACTTCAGCTTTTATCTTTTTCCCTAGGCATTTGTCTTCTAAATGGCACTTAATCTTTATTACTTGGGGGTAGCCATCTTTTGGGAAGTTTAGAACTTGTGTGAGTAAATGATTTGCATTCACAGATTTGGGCACTCTTCTACAAGAGTTCGCATGTGTACTGGAGAGAACCCGTCCCAGCTATTTGAGGCTCCATCAGCTGAACTAATAAGTATTTATTGATCATCTTACTAGTACCTCCCATTGTATTTAAACCCATGTGGACCATGAAAGAACAAAGACTAAAACCTGGCTCAATACTCAGAACAAAACAAAGAGATCATTAGATAGAGGGAACGATGTCAAGGTAATGTAGGAACATGAATAATTCCGAGTAAATGGCTTGGGACAGGTACTGAGTTATTGGTTTTAGCCATTGGGGAGATAGGTCACTTTGGCCTGGAAGTCTTAAAGGCTTTCTGGAGGAGATGGGCGAGGTGGTGAAGAAGGGGGAAAGCTTTTTGCTTGTTTTTTGTTTTTGTTTTTGTTTTTGTTTTGTTTTTTAAACTGTTCTCAAGATGATGGTGGTAATTTGGGTTACCAAGACAAGGGAGGAGCTGAGAGATTTGGATACCTCAATCTGGATTCTTGAGAAATAATGACCTTGAGCTGCCTTTGGAGCTCCAACTCCTTCAGCAGGTAGACCTCTCTCTGCAGGGCCCTGTGGGTTTGAGCTGAGGACTGTGCCTACCCAGTCACGGGCTTGGGGGTACATGTGGCAGTATGTATGCAGCGTTCTCCCTTGGAGGAAGGATGTGTGTGTGTGTGTGTGTGTGTGTGTGTGTGTATACATTAAAAGTGAACATTTAAAAAAGACCTAGTTCAATAGCATGAGGTTTTTGAGTCTGAAGTCAGAAGAGCCCAGCCCTAGGGGTAAACACCCAATTAAGACCAACACTCATGTGCGTAATTATGGATATAATTTGACAACACACTGACGACATATTAAACATGAAGCTAGATGATTACATAATTAGGCAATTGAAATATTCTCTATCTCCAGGACACCCTCCGAGGTCCAGTAACTACAACTGAGACTACACTGTTTGTGTTTGGTTTCTCCAGGTTTGTGCCCACAAGGGCCACATGGAGGCCCAGATTCGGCAATTTTGAAACCAAACATTGGCAAGTGGCTTGTTTGAGTTTGGTTTAAGTTTGGATGCTGAGGAGATCATAAGAGCTCAGCAAATACGGATTCGTGTAGCTTTCTCTGTTTGGAAAAATGTTTTGAGGGGAGAAAGGAAAAATTGCAGTAGTTGGTCCTTAAGTAAATGGAAGCAAATGAGAAATTTCTAGAAATGGAAGAGCTGAAACTTGAGCATATCCAGTTTTCTGCCTCTTGCGGCTTTGGCGTTAATGTGTTGGGGATTTGATCTCTACTGAACAAAATGTCAAGGATGGGAGTGCACAGAAGGTGAACGCAGCCAGGCCTCAGGCCTGCCCCTTGCTGTGGGCAGGCAGGACACCTGGGGAGCAGCCTCAGGAAGGGGTGCATTGCTCTGTTAGCCCCCCGATATGCAGGTAACAAGTTCACTTGAGATTCAGAGTCTTAGCAGGCCTCACCCCGCTGTTGTGGCAGCCAGGCTATGTTCAGTGTCTGTTTGCGGCTAATAAAACGTAGAAAAATGTTAACAGTGTCTTTATTAGATTTTTTTATAAGGGAATCTCTGGGAAAGAAGTACAATCAGCACTATGCAAAAATCATTCTTAAATTGAAGAGAAAACAATATTGCCATTTATTTTCTCCACTGTCACACGGAGTTAGAAGCTTCTAAGAGTCTCCAAAGCAGTGTTTCTGAGCTGTGGAAAACTAGGGTCTGCTCTGTGAATCTGTGAGTGAATTTCATAATTTTACCAACCCGTATGAGCACAGGTTGGGAGATATTTATATTTTTTTGTCTCATATTTCTGGAAAACTTGCACTTTGGAAAGACAGGTTTTTTACTTAGTTATCCACCACTTATTGGGCACCTGTGTACTATACACCAATATCCAGCCACCCCTATGTTGGGCTGGAAGTACATAAGGTACCATATACACATGAG